TGCAGACGGGAGCGGTGCGGGGACAGTACCTGCAGAGGGCAGCGGTGCGGGGGCAGGCGGAGGGGGACGGGGAGGCGGCAGACCCTTCCGCTTTAGGCCAGGAACGAAAGCCCTGCGGGAGATTCGAAAGTACCAAAAGTCAACCGACTTGCTGATCCGGAAGCTGCCTTTTGCGAGGCTGGTGAGTAGCTGAGAAATTGCTCTCACTTGCATTGTCAATTGCTTGCCTAAAGCCCACCTGGAGGCCATTTGCAGTCTGTGATACTGGGAATTTGGTTTTGAATTTGCGTCCTAGCTGCTAATGAAAGCGAATGTCACCAGCATCGTTGCATGTTCTTTATACTCTCGCATTTGCACGTCGAAATAAGTATCTGACTGTCAAACCTGCACGCTGAGGGAGAACGTAAGATTCAGCAAGCATTTGGTGATACATTGTGCTCCTCATCAGGTCCAGGAAATCAGCAACAAATTGACCAAGGAGGACTTCAGGTGGGCTGCAGAGGGCTTGTTGGCTCTACAAGAGGTATGACAAGAGTCTCCTTGGTGTGAAGGGAAGTTGCGGAGTTGTCACCGCCCTTAAAACCTCCATCATTTCCTTACCCCGTCCAAGATAAATCTAGTAAATCTGCTCACGGCCATCTGCTTAAGTTAGCGAGTTAGTACATCACATTTAACCAGCTGGCGTTGGAAGCAGAGGCCCCTCGTATAAGCTTCATAAGCAAACGGGCATCGTATGCCTTACGTTGATAAGATGAGTTCAGCGTACTATGAGTGGTTTATCTGGGCCTATGACAATGTGCAGTGAAAACCGCAGATCTTGTCTAGCTGCTCAAGGCGATCCCTGCCTTTTTCGTACAGATAACGGAGGACTTCATGGTGCACTTGTTTGAGGACACTAACTTATGCGCAATTCACGCTAAGCGGGTCACCGTCAGTAAGTCTTCTGCTCCTCGTGGTTCCATTGCCAACTTAAGACAGCGATTGGTTGCTCGTTTGAATCTCCGTGCAGGAAGTAGACGGAGTCCTCAGTAGCAGGGTAATATCTTGCCTCTTTTGCAAATCCGCTTGCGTTGATGATGGACTGGAGCGGTGCCTTTTGGATGAAGGTCTCTGTATCGTAGATAACAGGGCATACTGGGAGCAGAGGTGATCCATCCTTGTGAAGCATTGATGCAATATGTGGTGTTAGCATGGCTTATTCCTAGAGAACGTTGAACAGTATGTGGTCGCACTGAAACACTGTTTGGGGGACGACACTTTTGCAGACAGTGATAATAAATGGGATTTTGCAGTGCCCAAGGACATGCAGCTGGCACGGCGCATTCGTGGGGGCTATTCTGGTGGCAAGCCCTTTTAACCTGAGGGATTCCCGTACCCAAAAGGGGGATGGGTACGAGAGATTACCCCTGCTTCTGGTAGATGGAGGAGCTGGCACCGACCTAGTGCGTGGCATAGGTCGTGAAGTAAAGATTAGACGAAATCGGAGGATATTGAACAATTTTCTATTCTCGGATGGGCGGCCTAGTGCGTAAGCGCCGAGACGAATGACATAGCTGCTAAAAGCCCTAGTACTGCGACTAAAGGGCATGTGCCACGCTTACGGATATTGCATGTGGGAGCTCTATAATGAATCGAGAATAGTTCATCGTCCGTACTTTTGACAAGCGACTGCTTTCTTTATCAGAAAGCCGTGTTTGCTATCATCCACGCGCTGAGTGTGCAATGGTCTCATCGTCCTGACCCACTTTGATCATATGCACGTTCAAACGAAAACTTGATACTCGTCAGGCGCTTCTTCTGTGAGCACGATAGAGCACGGGACCCTTTCTGTATTGATCTGTAGCGATCTCCAATCTTGATTGGGAACTTCGGAACGTACCGCGCCGGTTCCTTCTTCCCCTTATATGCAAAAGATCCCCTAAGCTATGAAGTACGGGGCAGGGGTTTTCTAATGGCCCGGCGCATTACGTGTCCAACCTAGATTGCTCAACATTTGCCGCGTAGCCAAAGTTGCTGCCTCTACCAGGTTCTACACACCCACGCCGCCACTGCGATCCTCCTTCCGTACAACAGATAGATTCAACGGAGTTCTCAGGCTAGGCCGCGGGCGATCCGCGGCAGAGGCGGCCGCGCTGACATGACCGTCTGACATGCATGGGGCCACCTGGGCCTCCGCTTGGTCTCTTCCGACAGAGGCCGCGCATGCCCTGAACCCCTCCTGTTCTTCGCCTACTCTTTGCTGCTAGCTACATGTCAAGAACCTTGCTATCCTGATCGTTCTTCTCGAAATCAGTGTCATGCTTGACAAGTACTACATGCCAGGCTTAAGTGGAGAACTAGCCCTACAGTTCGGCATGTGTGACCGGCGAGATCAGCCAGTACGTGGACAAACAGTAGCTCGCGACCTGCCAGCACTGTGAGATACGCATCTTTATTGCGCTCCGGTTGGAGATCCTCGATTGGATCTTGATCATCGGAGGATCCAACCCTTGTGTGATGCGCCAAAACCGATATATGACTTCTATCCCTCGATCAACTTGTTTCATGAACAAGCACTGATCAGCGTACTTTGAAAATCAGCAGCACTGGTGTTTGTGGAGATACGGCCGTGCATATGCAAAATTGTCGGACACAAAGACGTGACTAACCCTTGACATAGATACTTGTTTACGCACCCAATACAAGAGTCTAACTCCATGAGGCTCGGAGGCGGCATGCGTGCGACCGTGATGCATCAGAGAAGGCACGTTTTCAGCAAAGCCTTATGGCCTGGCAATACTCACTCCCTCTCGCTTACCACGTAACATCGTGGCATTGAAACCTCTGGACGATCGATCAAACCAAGGGTTCGAGGCAGGACCCACAACCGTCCTTCTCTACCAAACTGTCAAACCGTCTGGAAAAACGCATACCGTCTTACTACCGAAAGCATAATGTCATGGATCTTAAGGGGCAGGCGGACGCGGACCCAATCACGTTGCACCGTCCGCAAAGGTGGCCGCATCCCAACTGGCGGGCGCGGACGGTGTTGTTGCCTTGGAAAACCCGCTGGCGGATAGGGGACCTGTAGATATACGCAGAGCCCTAGGTAACGGGGCTCGAAAAGATAAAATCGAGTTCCACACCGTTGAATGACGAGGTTCACGAGACAAGGCGAAGCACAGTCTTGCACGCCAAACAAGGCAGTCCGCTGAACAAGTGTCTAGAAAGCCGTATCAGAAGAATCTCTACTTCTGACCTCTGATGCAGAACGGCATGTATATCCACCTGATCGGCGCCAGGGTTGATGGCGAGGGGTCGCACCTTCTGACCCCCGCAGTCAGTTCCGGATGGTAATCCAGGAAAAGTCAAGGTAGTCGAGCAAGATCTTCTACAAAGATATCGGGGGTTTCCGTTCTGGAGTCTCCAAGTTAAATTAACACACGTATAAATCCCTGCAATTTGGCTCTGCATACGAAGCTATCAGCCCTGTACACAAGTGTATCATCGGACCCGACTGTGGCGGACGTCACCTCAAGACCCGCCTTCAGTTGCAGTGCCAAAAGCAGAGCCGACAAGGGAGTGTACTGGGTACGTACCGCTAACGTTTCCGTTCCGTTTTGCTTGCGCGGGGTTGGAAGACGATGGGCCCATGACGTGCGGCACACCTGCACAACGAATTGGCGCTCAGAACCACAATTTCTTATGTTACACTCAGTGGCGCAACCTTTGAGTGATTTGAAAAGCATTCTGCTCGAAAGCTTGCTTCAAGATCTGGGGCTAAACGTCGCCCACTTCCAGGTGGCTTTCGACCCCGTGCCACTTACCGCTCGGCAAAGATTCTACCGATGAACAAACTTGGTGGGATGTCAGATTTGCAATTCCATCACGCTTGTATCTGCTTTCGCTTACCTTCCCGACTCTCAAGTTTGAACGAAGCACACATCTTGACGAGAAAGGTGGTAAAACGGCGCTTCCCTTCAATTCGGATACACCTGGATTGGATGCCATAAAAAATCACCTGAGACTCGGCTCACCTTTCTCATTCATCTACCGGTTCCTCACAACATGTGCTAAAGTCTGTAACAATAGTTGCTGAGGCCGGCCTGCAATAGACGAGAGCCCGCCTCAGCAAGTCCTTGATTACCGAACGCTTGCAGGTTGGATACGGCACAAGATCCGTGAGCAGATCACGATGTTTCAGATATTCGCTTGCTGCTCCTTTCGATGTCCAGCAAAGTGCACAGAATTCAATAGGAGACCGCCGGCTTAGTTCCAAATGAGCCTGCCAACCAGAACCTTTTGTAAGAGGTGAACCAATTTCAGCCGACTCGGTTGACGAAGGGCACCGGCGCTCCGAATGGGACCCGAAGGCCGTATCTACAACTGCTGTTTGAAACCAAGCAGTCGTCTTAGCAAGCTCGCTTATGCGGCCAGGTTGGAAGAACACACGGAGGCCCAATCTCGGTACAAACAAGTAGACTGGACGAAAGTACGGTTGTGTGTGGCTGCGCTGGCCGCTTTTCGGAACTGCAAACGCTCAATCTCTAAATCAACAGACGCGCTATTTGAAAACGGGTGGACTTCGGCGGTGCCCTTATGTCCATCGAAAGGTCGCCAAGGTAATGGCAAGAAAACTTCGACCACGTTTGCTGTCGGCCTCGTTCAGGCCTACATTGTAAAGCTTCTCCGACGACTCACCGCGCACTCCTGGTGCCACCATGCTGACGTCATCCAGCCGCCCCGACCGGCCCTTGCGGTGACGTGCCCGCCAGGCTGAGACAGCAGCTCCAAATGAGCACGCTCTGCACCGTCCGGAGCGCCTCCGTACCTGCATTGGAAATGAAACTTCAAGGTGTGGACTGACGAAGCGAGCGAACGAAGGACTCGCCAAGGAGCCGCCGGAAAGGACGGCCGAGCTCAAAGACTCCTCCGGTTCTGCTTTCCCTCGAGCATTCCGACGCGCCTTTTCAGCAAAGAGCGGCGAACCAACCCCACCCGCGCAGCAAAAGCATGAGTCGGAGAATATCTCTTTGGACAGGCACGTCGTTTACACGCAAATGCGAGAGGTTTATGGCTCGACAATTGAGACCGACTTACAAAATTTCTCTTGCTTTCCTCCAATCGAGGGACAGGAACGGAGGACCTTGCACCTCGTAAGCTTAAATGCATCGCCAAGGTTAGAAGTCGGAGAAAGAAAAGGAAGGAAGGGTAGATTGAGATTTTTGTTTCCCCCTTGTACGTTGGGCAAACATGACGCTGAAACCTTAGCAAGGAAGACGTGAAAGAGCGAAAAGATATGGGGCAAAGGAAGGACGTGTTTGAAGCGGGCAGTTTAGGATGGGAGACGCAAAAAGAACTGCAGGAGACGCGCAGATGATGGCGGATTTACCGCCTACGCTTTCCAAAGGTCCTTTTAGGATGGATATTTTTAGCGAAACCCCATTTGTAACAGATAGTTGGTCAGAACATTACAGCAGAACGCACGCCGAAGAAACTCAGCTTACCAGTTGACACCCAAATCAGATCCAGCCCGCTCGCATGGTTCAAGACAGCGCGCTCCTAGCGCACTCTTCTGGAACACTCAGGATGACCAGCCTCGAGATGACGTCACCGTTTTGACCGCGCGAAGCTCCACCAACGTCACTGAAGGCGCCCGATGCTTGAGTTCTTGTTGTCAAGCAGGACGCGGCAATATGAACTCTCACACCTGCAGCGTGCGGCAACGTTGCATATCAGCCGAGTGATCATGACGCCGATTTGAAAGACACGCGTCTGACTGGCATTTGCTGTTGGCAAGGGCTGTCAGTCATCTGCTTCGTATTTTCTCTTCAACAAATCATCAAAGCAATCAAAGCACTAGGAATCACACAGGAACGTCCGAGTACTGCGCAAGTTCGACACGGCATTGGCTGGTGCGTCAGGGTGATTCCGCCCGATATCCGAGTTCGGAGTAGCCAAACGGCCAGTCACGGTTGGCCCTGTCAGCGGCAACTTCTTTGCAATGCTCAGTACGAGCTGGGCAGTGGACACGCCAAGTCTGCCGTTCCGAAAGGAGGGAAGCACACGACTGTATATAAGGAGTAATCGCATTGAACCTCATTTCGGAGAAACGGTCCTTTTGAGATCAGCGTTGTAAGCTGCTGGCCAGCTCTGTCCAATCCAAAGAGTACTTTTGCGGCAGTCGAGATCCTACCATGTCGACTTCTAGTTTGGGTATAAGGATTTCGTTGTTCCGGCTTACCAGGCGATGTCCGGTGCCTCGTGGAAGCGCAGCCAACGCGCTGCAGTCGTCTCCTTGGCCATTAGCACAGCTGACATCACCTAGCCGGCCTTGAGCCCAGCAAAGGTCAGCTGGCCTCCTCCGAAAAGCGGTTCCTGCATCGAAGCCCAATTCATGTAAGGAAAGGGCTCGTGCAGAGTCACGTAACGGCGAAGCAATGATCTAAATCGTGGAAGTCAGCAGTCAACCTGCATACTTGGAGAGAGATCAGACTTGTTCAAAACCCCGAGTGGCATGGAAACACCACGGGGGAGCCTTCACATTCACTAACAGCGTTCCGCAATGTTCCGTGCGTTTTCTGGCCTTGAGAATCGAAGCGAGTACATTGGTCAGCTGTACATGAGAACGAACTTTTGGCTGACGTGTTCCTTTGTTGCACGAGCAGATGCGTGAGCCGCCGGAACACACTATAACGAAGGAAAAGATGGTGATCAGGGGGCGCGGAAAGCAGTCCCAACTATTTGCAACAGAGATCGAGGCACTTAAGTAGCTCAGCTAAAGTGTTCTTGCCGCCCTTCCAGTCGGAGGCGGTGCAAAAAAGACCTCAACCGGCATACAGCTTCTGTAGCGGTTTAAAAAGTAGTTCCAAAACGGGACAAAGCTTCCATAGCAGGTGCTGCACGGAGTCCAAGGGGATCAAGCAAAGAGGTAATGCAGTCGGGCTTAGGTGTGCGTTTGTCAATCTCTGATGAGTGGAATTGTCAAGTTCGCCAGCGTTGGGAAAACCTCTTAGGGCCCAAAGTCACAATTGAGGTCCATCTTGGAACGGAAGTGGCATCGTTCAAGGCACTTCAAGCAAGCAGACACAACCATTGCTTCTAAGTTGCTCGGTCTACCACTGAAATGATCAGAAACTGAACGACCAGCTAGAGCGGCGAATAGGAAGCGTGGATGTGAGTCTTACTTTTACGGTGCGTCCCAAGGAACGGACCCAGCAAAACGGAGCACAACTTGGAAGCTCACGTTTGAAGTCAGCTGCTGGTAGAGCTAACACTACTCAGCTCCCGCCGAGTCTACCAAACGCATCGGCCAGAAAGTGCGAGAGCAGACATGATTATCGTTGATGAACAAATTTTCAAAAACCGAAAGTTCATCAGGAAGACTCATGGAGACCCCGCCAACCGGTTCCGTTCCGGGATCCGCCCGCACAGAGCGGAATGCACCCGACAGACCGAGGCTTTGGCTGTCTCTTACGGATCGAACTTCAAACCCCAGCAAGAAGTTGAAAACTTGACGGCCGCGTTTCAAGGAGCATACCTGCCCTGTTTCCGGCACCGGCCCTGAGTTGCCAAGCCGAAGTCAATGCGCGGCTGGTTTGCCCTGACGTCAGCCGATGACGTTCGAAGTTGAATGATGTTCTGCTGCGAAAGGGAACCCGGTGGCTGACGGGAACCCCCCGGAACAAGACGGGTGCGGGGACGATACGCGGGTTGGGCGGGTGCTCGATGCGCGACAACGTGATGGAGAACACGCTGCACATGAGGAATTGAAGGTCAGCCTCAACAAGCTACGCGAAACAATTACTTTCAACGTTGAGAGCGTGCACTAAGAAACGATCCGTGACCAGTGTTAACGACTGGTGCCAGATATCGAGCCGCACTTGGGACGCGGCGACTCAATCTTGTGGTTGTGAAGCGAAACACATAAGATCGTTGTTCTAACAAGACGAGAAATACCAAGTAGCGCAGCGTCCACAAGCAAAGAACGAACGTCCAAAGCAGGCCAGAACCCTATGCCAGATTCTTACTAAAAAGCTTTTGAAAACTCCGGTCTCCTCGTCAGCCGAAGTGTGAGAACAGGGTACATCGGCACCTGGTTGTCACGATCAAAGTCAGCGCAAAAACAACGTTGCACTCGTTTTGCAGAGATCTCGATTCTGGCTGACTTCGTGGTTGCAATCGGTGACATAAGGCTTATCGCGTAAAGCAAGTATGCCGCCTCTGTATGCAAGTAAGAAGAAAGGGGAACCCCGGAAATCAGGGCTACGTTCGTGCAGCCAATCCTCAGATCAATCAAACCGTCATGTTGCAGGATGGATCTCCGAGACAAGACTTGCTTTCACCTGAGGCTCAATTGCGTTGCAAGAAGCGGAACCTATGGGGTCTGTATCCAATGATTGTGGAAGGCTAATCACCGGGAAACTTGTGAAGCCCAACTTAAGGACACGTTGAAAAGCCTTCAATTTCATCGATACGGCTGCTCACAAAGGCAGACAAAGATGGATGTCTGGGATGCACTGTCGCTCACCTGTATCCAAGGCGCTCGACGCGCAGCCCCATTGCGGGGCCTGCCCCGACTGCTGAGTCCACCAGGCCCCGAGGCCCAACCCCAGCTCTCGCCCCACTCGCGCTCAAGCTTCGTACGCTCGTTCATTGAAACGGAGAGGCGCGGGACCAGCTGTGCAGTGAAGTCACCCGGACCTTGCTGACGTCAGCACCGGGAGCCGGCTCGGGGGTCCGTCGGACGGGGTGCGTGAAGCACGCGGCGCCGGCCGGAGTCCGACCCGCGGAACACTGCGAGAGCACGAATGACGTCAACAGGGGGCCGTGATGACGTCAGCAGGAAGGCAACGCGAATCGCAGTACAAGTTGTAAGACGCGGCGTTGGAGAGCACGGCGTCCTGAGAGGGGAGTCGGAGAATAGATAGACGGCAGCACGCCCAATGCCGTCCAATGGCAGGAAATAAGAGGGAACAGAACACAAGCGGAACGATGAGACAGAGGGTTTGAATTTGATAACGGCCGGTATTGCCGAACTCTCGATGAGGTGCGCATACGAGAAGGGCTTTCTATTTCAAGTACGTGATGCGCAAGTACACCAGTTCTGATTGTACGGTCGGAAAAAAAGGGTTCACTAGACTCCGATCAGGTTGGATTGGAGCGAAGTCTCCGTGCCTTCACTCAGGTTTGAGTAACCCTTTTTTGAATGTAAAAGATGATGCAAGGACCTCATTTTCCACTAGGAAGGAGCCCGACAGTTTCCAAACGCAGATTGAGAACTGTAAGAGAAGAACATCAGGCAGCATATTGTCCAGTAAAACGAACCCTCTCATCAGTTAAGACCGCAAAAAAGATCCTTTCAACGTAGGCAGCCCAACCTTCAAAGAAAGCGCGTCAAGTCTTGCACTGAAGACACTGTGGCTGTCCCGTTCTCTGGAATCGTTTCGCCGGCTTCGAAGCCTGGACAGCAGTTACCGCTTCCTCTTGGGATGACCAGAACGGCCGCTTACAAGCTTCCAATCGTCAGAATCCATCCTGTCCGCAGACGTTCCTGTTTAGTGACGACTGTAAGAAATATTTACGGATCCTTAGCTCTTTGCGACCAACTTCAATAAGGTGCGGGAAAGTTTTAGACTGCGCGTCTTGGCTCACCACGCTCACCGGCTCGTTCGAAGCATTCGCCCCGCTCACGGTGGTGGCACCAAAAGGCGCCTCCGCAGCCAGCCTGCTGGTCGACTTGCGTGCTTCAGCGCCAGCCGCGACCCTGAGAAAAGACCATACTCTTCTCAGCGGGACAAATCTGGACACTGACGTGTATTAAGAGAAAAGAGCGAGAAGGTATCGATACCTATCAGCCCCCCAATGGCTGGCTCAAAAGACTACGAATTTCCAAAAGATATTCGCCTGAAAAAATCCGGTCTAATTAAGCTACGGAAGATGATTTGCTGCTTAACGTGCACACAAAGTCACCTTACAGGCATGGAGGGAACAGCCTTGTCGGGTCAAGTCCGCCTTTGCCATAGGCCGTACTCTCGAGTATCTTAAATGTGCAACCTCATTTAGCAGCTTAGAACAAACGCAAAACTTCGCAAGATTCGTTGTGCGTCTCCGGGCTCCACTCACAACCAAGCGGACGCCCAACTGGAGAAGTGAAACGGATTCTACAGGGAAGGGGCGCCCTTCTTCCGCGTATCTCCCCGTGGCTGAAGCGGTCAAAAGAGCATTCTTTTACCATCGTCCACATAAATCAGCCTCTGGTTTGGAATCCGCACGTGGACACGGTGCTCCTGAGACTCACCCTGTTTGGTTCTACTCCGCGCGCTCAGCTGACAAGGAGCGTAAATACACGTACGCACCGCTGGCCTAATAGTTAAGCTTGCACGGAGGGATCGGGCAAGCGTAACCAAAGGCAATATTGGAGATCAGCCCTGCAAGGGATAAGCAAGTTTTCAGAGACAGCCCCGGCAATTTGCCCAAAGTGAAGCAGGAACTTGGAACATAGAATGAAGCACAAGCCTATCTTCAAGAGCGAGTTGACTTAGGAGCCAGTTTAGAGATTCTCTACCCAAGTGATTTCTCGAGTGGTTTTCAAGAATGCAAAATAAGCACAGCAAGCTCGGCAATCCCAAAGGGAGCCTGACGAGGAGGAATAGATGCCGTTAGGTCCATCAGGCAAACTATGCAAAGCCCTGCACTCGTCGTCATCAACAAGGACGCCGAAAATGACAAGCTCTACTCTAAGTTGGAGTAGGCAGCACAGGAACTTGAAAGGATTCATACACGTGTAGGGCGTCCTTACGAAGGAGGGCACAAGCGAAATCAAAAGACTGACATTTTTTTCGAAGAGAGCAGAACGATAGCAAAGTGTCTTAAGTGCTTTCACTCTCTTCAGAACGCTTGAAGCTTTGGAACGTGTGACTATGTGGATTTCAATCAGATGCTTGATTTCGCTCTTTCCATTGCTGAAATTGCATCTTTCAAAGCCATCGTTCCTTCCACTTACCACAGCTGTTTTGTACTCCCGCCTGCGCTCACAGCCACGACTACCGCTCCTGCTCCGCCCCCTCGCCCGCTTTCTTGCCGCCGTTAGTTTCTTCCGGCCTGCCACTGCAGCCTTCCGCAGCACCCCATTCTACCGGTTCCAAAGCTAAAAGGCGCAGGATCTGCGGCCCAAGGTCTCGAAGCTCACTTCGGTTCTCTTGGTACTTGGACCATTGGATTCTACAGAAGTTCTCCAGCTTTTGAAGGCTCCCCGGCTGTGCCTTAATTGCCCGCGCGGTCTCGCTGTCCGCTGCCAGACTCTTCAGAGCCCTTGCTGCATATGCATCCTCGTGTATCTCAACGTCGAGAATCTCTAGGAGTCCTGCTAAGGCCCCGGGCACCGACGCTATAGCTCTCCCAACCGCCATGTCGTCCGCCAAGTCAGCAAGCACGGACGCTTGGACCTGCGGAGCCCAGACTACCTCCATCACGGAGACAAGTCTTTCCAGGCACCCCGGAACGGCAGCGATCGTTTTCCGGTTCGCTGGGACCGCCGTCAGGTTCTTCAAAACGCTGGTTGCCGAATCCAGCAAATCTCTGTTGTCTTCATTTGCGTCGAGAATATCGACGAGCCGCTGCAGGACGCCTGGTGCTTCCATGACCGCCTTCTGTACGTCAGCCTCTTCCGTCAACTTCCAGAGGAGTTCGGTGCTCCAAGCTGTTAGGACCGCGTCTCCCAATGTTCCCAGCAATGCAAGGAGCATCTTCAAACACCCAGGCGCGCTGGCATGACCCTTCTCTTTGCAGTGTCCGCAGCAAAAGCGTCCAGTATCATAAGACTACTTACTTGTGCGCTCGCACTTGCGCCGCCTAGCAGGCTCAACAACTCATCCAGAATCCCGGGCGCTTCCCACACCATTTTTCCATACTCTCTACTTGCTCCAAGGCCCCGAAGTATATCTCCCGCCGCTTGTTGCGCGTACGAGCTCGCACTGCGCAAGAGGCTGAGCAACTTTTTCAGGCACCCCGGCAAAGGGACGATAAGTGCTTGATGCGTCCATGCCAACCCCTTCAATGCCCCTACCACAGGCTCAAGCGCCTCATGCGTTAGTCCAGCATCCAAAAGCCCCACCAGCTTTTCCACAAGATCCGGCACATTGGGGATTGCCTCGCAAAGGGCGTAATCGCACACCACCTTCTCAAGGACGCAGGCGGCCAGTTCACGCATGGCCCCACATCCAAGGAGATCAACGAAACAACGCAAGCACCCCGGCGTGTTTGCTATGACCACTCGCGCCTCGGGCTCAGCCGCCAAACTCTGCAGAGCCCCCAGGACACTGCTGCCAAAGGTGCGCCAACCAAAAGCTCCGCCAAGCGCGGCACTATGTCAGGCGTATGAACTATGAATCTGCCTGCAGTGTCGTCGGCTGCCAGTTCCCACAGAAGTCCAGGCACAATCTTCTGGAGGTCTCCACTTGGGGCTTGCAAGAGAACCCCAAGGCGCTGTAAACACCCTGGCGCCTGCGCAACGGCCACCCTGCTCCCAGCGTTGCTTGCCAGAGCCAGCAGCACCCTGACAGCCTTCTCTCTTATAAGTATGCTGCGGCTGTCCAGCAGGGCAACGACTTTCTCTAGGCTCCTTGGAATGCTGATTCTTGATGGATTTTCAGTATCAATCCCGGCTGCTTCGTTGCCCCACCAAAACATTTTCCTAAGGGAGCTTGACCTCAGGGTGTACGTTGCCCCCATCAAACAGTTCAGCTCCAGGCTTGTCAAGGACGGGAACCGCTCGATGAACGCATCGAATCTAAGAGGGGAAACTGCAAACCCTTGCAAAGTCAAGGTACGCAACCGAGCAAAAGGCTTTGGCAACCAATCATTGCACAAGAGCCTTTGAGAAACCTGCAGTTCTCTTGTCCAGTAGAGAACCTCCAGAGTCGCCAGCTCTTTGCATGCCTGAAACATCAGGAGCATGTACTCAAAATCGATGATGCTTGCTGCTCCTGCCCCTCCCATAAACAAGTGAATCTCCCCAAGCGAGTCCTGTGCCTGGAGAATGATGGACTGCAGGATAGCTGCTAGATTCACCGGATGCTCCACAACCAAAGCCACTTTTGTCAAGAGGGAAGCGCACTTTCTCTGCTGGAGCATGTACCGCAGGAAAGCTGATTCATCTTCAGACTGGTTGAAATCCCACTCCAGACACCCAGCATTGTGCACTAGTTCCTGGAATCGCTTGCAGACTGCCTCTAGCCGCAGCCTTTGGAGGGCCTTGGGCTCGCCAAACGTGTTTGGATTCCACAGCAGCTTCTCAAAGATCTGCCCAACCAAATCGTCGCTCAAGCGCTCAAAACAATTCGTGCGCGTTTCCACGGCTTTTGGCGGAGATGGCCTCTACGTTCGCTTCCCTTGCACTAGTTGGGAATTGGACGGAACAACACTGTCAACAGACAATGAAGTTGGTGCAGCGCTTTCAAATCACTGTTCAGAAGCCCTTCACTGCTCAGGCTTCAGAAAGAACATTTGTTCAACTTAATTCAAGTTTCAATCAAGTGAAAGCGCGCGGCTGCGCAGTGCGCACCCACTGCCAGCCTGTGTTTTTTCTGGTGTTGACATTGAAATGACCGTCGATCTGGCATCTTGGAGCAAGACAGCCGCTCGATGAAGGGATCATCAGTACTGGGAAGAGAGGTCCAGCTTCTCAGGATGTATACGTAGCGACCAAACACGCGGAAAAGTGCCTGGATTGGTCGCCACCGCAGTTTCCAGATGTCACGAATTCAAAAGCTTCATCCCTTGTCACCATTGGCATTGCCAAAGCCAGCATTGCAGGAGCGCAGGCTCCTATAGATGTGCGATTGTAGGTGCTACTGTATTAGCTGGTGATTTGGGGACAGAGTTGACCGCTGCCGCTTGAGGTGCCAGTGGAAACATGGAGCCACATAGCAACTTCTTTGACACTCTGAGCGATCATATGAATTGTTGGAGTGCATTTTCGAGAAACTTCTGTGGAATCCTCAGCGTTTGGGGCGCCGCACAAGGCTCGCGAAAGAGTGTGGCTGGAGTCCGTCTGCAAAAGGTTCCAAAGGCTAGTGCACATGTCCGGGTATCTGGATTGGCAGTTCGTCAAGCCTGAGGATGGAAACGCATTCTTGTGTTACATGGTGCGCCAACGTTCGAAAATGTACAAGGCTCTTGACAAAGGTAGCTTTGGATGTTGAGGCATCAGTGCAGTTGGTCGCGATCCTCCAGGCAGTCATTTTTGCAGCCCAGGACAGCCTTGAGGAGCTTCACTTGTTCGTAGGGCGTCTTGTCCTACAGGATGCAGTCAGTTGGGAACACATTTTCCTTCTCCTTGCTGCGGTGGAAAGGCTCCGCATTCTGGACATATTCCTTTGGGGAGAAGAACATAGGCGGCGGTCGCTGGTGGCTTTGAGCACATTCTGGCTCCCAAAACCCTTCGAAAACCTGCAGTCCCTCACACTGTACGGCTTTGCCATCCCCAGTGATCAATCTGGCGCACTCTTGAAAAGCTTCCCAGTGTTAAAAGCCTTGGAGCTTCATTCATACGTGGGCGAAACCTGTGCCCTTGAGGAAAGACTGTTGGAGAAAGCCTTCTGGTGGGGCAACCAAAAAGCTGGCATTGATGTGGCAAATCCAGAAAGAGTTAGTCTGCCTCGAGAAGCCTTGGAAAAGTGGTGGCGCTGTTGGGGAGCAAAATTCTGGTTGTAAGCCAGACGGCTGCAGTGACGCTGCGCACTCTGTCAGATAGCGCCGATGCTCGGAAAGCCATAGCCGCGGTTCTTGGGACTCTAGACAGCCTGGTGGAGCTTCTCAATAGCGGCGGGTATGCGTCTGCTGCAGCTCTGCAAAGACTTGCGGATGAGCCTGCCAACAAGAGCCGCATAGCCAGTGAACCTGGTTGCCTGCAAAAGCTTCTCTCTCTCTTGGAGCGATACGATCCTTTCGATAATGAGATAGCTGAGATAGCTGCACATACGCTGGTCAGTCTGGCGGCGGATGCTCATGTGCGAAAGCAAATCGGCGGGGATACTGAGATGGTGAGAAGACTTGTACACAGTCTCTGCAGCGGGTATGGGAGGGCGCGTGGGAAGGTGCGTGCGTTGTCTGGCTGGGTGCTTTGGTGCTTAGCCAGTTCAGGCGCTGGGGATGCGGTTGCTACTTCCGGGGGGCAAGTGTGCCTGCAGAAACTTGTTGCGCTTCTGGACGATGCGGGCCTGAGCATGCATTGCGGGGAGTTGCTCGTTGCCCTGTGCAATGATGGGGAGATCCGGAGGACTGTAACCTCAACGCCTGGGTTTCTTGCAAGCTTGTTGGGTCTGTTGACGAGCGAGAGGTTGGATTTAGGGATAGCAGCAGTTGAGAGCTTGCAGATCTTGGCGACAGATGCAGAGAGCCGCAAGCTCATTGCCTTGGTTCCCGGGGGGCTCCAAAAGCTGATAGGCCTGGTGCAAAAGGGGGGGG